ATCGTGCTTCTAAGTTGTCAAAAATCTAACACGCCCATTGACTCCAGAGGGTGAATAATGAAGTTCAGCTTATTGGTGTGGCACTCCACACCTGGGTTGAGCACTACAATCACCAAACTTATGATATGACGCATAAACAAGGTTCCTGTTTCACATCCAGCTGCTTCGTGGATTGTTGCATGTCTTTCTTGATCACTGTCTGTTCCTTGTTTTCTTGTCAGCTCTCTACTGTCTACTGTTTCTAATAAAGGCATAAAAAGCCCAAAAATAAGCACAGAGAGAAGGAAACACAGATTACAGGGCAAAAAAAGATCAGTCTTTCTTGTCACATCATGCCTCTGTTCACAGCTCTGTTTGATAACTATTTGAGGCAGACAAGGCTGTGAGTGGCTTCATAAGTTTATTTGTTTTCCAGGCTATCAACCCAAAGCTATATATATCTAAAAAGATCTTTTTGTCTTGTGTAGGATGCAATCCAGCGACTGAGGCCAGTCAACCCTGTATCCCTGTCAGTTTCCAGCAGGACGGACACGGGTGTCCACGCCCTCTCTAACTCCGCACACTTTGACCTGCAACGCAAGAATGACAAGCTGCCGTTCACTGAAGATATTCTTGTTCAGGCGCTGAATTTCCACCTTGGGACAGAACAAATCAGGTGAGTAAAGGGTCATGAAACTCTGTGTGAGTGCATGAGTGCTTTTATGACTTTGTAAGTCTCTGAGTTATGTAATTAAGCCACTTAAGCCAAATAAAAACACATTTCTCTGTCTCTGAGATCAGTTTTCTCTAAACACATTATAGAAACAGTGAGACATCAAAAGGTACGTGAACATAACCTGAATGAGTGCTAAAGTAGTTTCCTTTAGCACTACTTGAACTTGCCCCCCCAAGAAATTGACCTAAATATAACTTTTTTAATCCTCTTACACTGAGTGAATACAGTTTAGTCAGCTGGTGAAGCAGCTGCCTCGTGTTTTCTCTGATAGATGGTGTTGCCATCTTGTTACAACTGACCTGTCAAGTAGCTTGAAAAACAGTGTGCAAGTGCCAGTGTGTTCTCTGTTGTTGGCAATAGGTGGTCAAACCAAGCAAGATTTTTATTCATTAACTGCACTGTACATTTTAATACATAGAAACCATTCCTGGCATTATTTTCGCCTGATCAAAATAGTTTTCAAAAAGCTATTATGAATTTTTATAATTGGCACAATTTAACCTGATTGACTGCTCCATAAATAACACCAATGAGAAATAAAAATAGAAATGTTTACTATGGAGATACACAGGATATGGTCAAACATATGCAGACGTACATTCACTGGTTGTTTCGTTAGGTACACCTTGCTAGTACCAGGTTAGAGTCCCTTTTGCCTTCAGAACTGCTTTAATTCTTCAAGCATAGATTCAACAAGGTGCTGGAAACATTTTGGTCCATATTGATATGTAAACATCACACAGTTGTTGCAGAGTTTATCAGTTGCACATCCATGATGAGAGTTTCTCAGTCCATCACATCCCAAAGGTGCTCTATTGGATTGAGATCTGGGGACTGCGGGGCTTATTTGAGTACAGTGAACACATTGTCATGTTAAAGAAACCAGTTTGTGATGGTTTGAGGTTTGTGTCATCTGAAGAAGAGTTCACTGTGGTCATGAAAGCATAAAAGCAACAATACTCAGGTTGGCTGTAAATGGTAAATGGCCTGCATTTGTATAGCGCTTTTCTAGTCCTTAAGGACCCCAAAGCGCTTTACACTACATTCAGTCATTCACCCATTCA